TTTGTTCACAGTTCTATAATGTTGCGCTTTATCTCTTGCAATCTCAAAAGAAGATTTTAGACAATTAAAATTAACAACCAAAGTAAGATTACGATAACAAACTCGATTTTTTTGCTTACTTTTTGTTGCCGTATGCCATAACGTTCCCAATTTTGTTTAGTATCTATAATGTTGCAAGCGAGATCTCCTAAACAACGTCTTGTCACATCACATCAACACGACATTGTCTCAAAACTTATCGCGTAATCGAGTTATGCTTTGGTATAAGTTATAAGCGTATAGATCATATAATATTTCAGAAAACATCCAGACCGATACAAACAATCATATTCATGAATACAAATGTTTGTGCAAAGAGTAACAAATAACAATCTATCTACGTATTTTTAATATTAGTAAAATCAATCAAATTAAAAGACGCGAAGACATTTATTGCCAATTGTAAGTCGTTGTCAATTTCAAGTTTCTACCTGGTTTTATGTAAAAATTACTAGCAATATCATATTCCTTTATTAAAACTCGATTACTTAAACTTGTATACGTATAATATAATATATAGGAAATTAAATATATTTTTATTTAAAAATACAATATTGATATTATTTTTTATATTACCTCGTTCGTTTATGGATTTGCTTCAAAAATTTATGTAGTACGTAAAACTAGTTATATTAATGTAAAATATATTTTAAATGAGCGCAAAATACATGTGCATTTATAGTCGGTATACTCTAGGTGAATAAAAACACACTCTTAACTATTTATGAATTTATCTTCTAACCTACACCACAATACAATGACAAAATCTCCCACGATATTCTGTAGCAAAAACAATCTACAATAATCGGATTCTGTACGCTATAAAATAGGCTGTGTGCACACTGGCGTGTATGCTCTGTTGCCATGGTAACCGCTTAACACTCGCCTACTGGAATTTACGAGGTATAATCTGACTTGGCTTTCCAACTTTCATTCCGGGAATGGAAAATCTCATGCGTCGGTAATCTGTATATATGTACCAATTTGATATATTTCCTGTTTGAGCAATGTGATTTTGTGCCTTAATAAGTATATATTAAATATACATTTAAGAAAATACGTTTCCGGTTTTATATGACTGTGAGAAAGGTTTTATGGAGTTATTAATCATGTTTTATTACGTTTACAGATATTTTTCAGTATCTTGTTCCTTTTTAATAAACATTTAAATAGACTAGATTCTTAGTTCTGTAACTATATATGTATATTGTGACTGAGTAAATATTCATGATTCTTTTTATAGTTCCTGGGGGCTTCTTATATTTTCCAAGTTAAGAAATATTCGGGAAGTTTAGATATTTTATAAAATAATATATAGAAAGCTATAAGAAATATATAAACAAAAATTACTGTAAACTAGAATATGCAACTATATAGCTATTTATGACTTTATTAAAATTAAACATTACTCATCGATAATTTAATACGTATTTTGTTTTTGTTTAAAGACGTTCGCACATATTTTTATGTAAGGGCATATAATTTTAATAAAAAAGTATTTGTTATCAATATTAATGCATTTTTGTCGTTTCAATTTAAGTTCACTGATGCCTCCACCATTAAAGGTCCTGGTGACAGGAATCAATGAATACTTTAAAGCGATTTTCACGCCTCATCGATTCTATTGAAGTTGCTTGAATATATTTGGGTACTGAAAAGAATAAACCAATGGAACGTCAGCAAGTAACCGAGTTTATTGTCTGTGGTTTGCTCCTATAATGTAGACATGACCCATATGTAGTATTAACCCTAATACGGAGGTAAACTTTGTACAAAGTTGGATATTCTCTCACCTATTATATACCTCTATATACCTATTATTCAAACAGCTTGCTTTTTAAGATATGTTTCGGTTGAAATGTGAGATAATATTATGTATGGTGGCTGGCTCATACGTCATACTCGTGAACGGGTGCTGCTTGTGGGGACTGGTCTGTTCAGGTTGCGAACACTGATTAGATTTTTTGTTTTTGTTTTTTTTCAATAGCATATGCTGGTAGTCACTCTATTCTCCCTAATTTGAATTTACTTGAATCTGTATTATTGTAATTATGTACATTTAAAAAAAAAAAAATTTGTATTACATAATCTAATTATAAATACATATATATGTATGTATAATTAGATTAAATGTATATTTCTTTTATAAACATAATTTTGGTAATACACTGCCCATATGAATAAATATTAGCCCTATGGTAGACTGTGAAAACACCTCAAGGTCATACCTTGAAGTTCTCCATGTCCACATTTATTTCTAAAATTATGCATTGAGGTTTCAGTAATTAAACAAATAGTAATTAATGTTTTTTAGTACATCGCATTCATTCATTGTACAAACACCAGCATCGACTACCATTTAATAATCTGTAGGAAAACGTCTACAAAGCGTCTTTGATATATTTAATTTAATCTGTCCAACCCAACTTACTAAACACTTACCTACAATACCAGAATAACACTAATTAATTTATACCACAAGCCGACCAAGGGCAAATTAACTAATTATCGCCTCAAACAACATACATCCCTGAAGCAGAGATTAAATAATATCACGTGTACTATATAAATCATTAGCCAACTCCGCAACGGTGTACCCGTTCAATGTTATAATTATTATTAATGTAAACGAGTAAAACCCAAAGGGAATCTTGAAATTTCCCTTAACAAGGCCCTAACTTGTACTATCAGTACCCAGTTATATCTTTATATGGAATGGTGTTGATTTTAATATTGGTTTCTATTTTCTACCGTCGATAATTTTATTATATAATTTTATAAAAAAATACATTCCACATGTCTATTTCATCATAATCATTGTTATATGTATTCCACAAGTCAAACGAACATTTTATTATTTTCATTTCGAGAATACGGAAAAATAAAATATGTTAAAGTTATTAAAGTTACTTTAGAAAGTGCAAAGAACTTAGATTTAGATATATATCTTATGTTATATCAATAAAAATATATATAGTTTATAATTTAAAATATTAACTTTATATTGTAAAATGAAAGTATGTAAATGCGCCGGCGTTATATTTTCAAGAACATATAACTAATAATATTTATTTTTCTAATTGTAATACTTATTTAATTGAAGCCACTGAAAATTAAAAGCTATGCCTTATGTCTTTTGCTTATACATTTATATTTAATAGAGACTTGACACTTGAAGAGAGAGAGTGAGACATTTAAGACAATTTATATGTAAATCATTTATCGTTACTTCAATTGTACCAAGTACATAATAGTATCTACAACAGTTAGAGTATTGTACACAATACTTCAAATTAGCTAATTTTCAAACAGACCAAACCCCTCCGTTTATTCAATTAATCGTGGAGTTTTACAAGGCAATGAATTTCATTCGCATCTAAAAGTTCACGAAGCAATCTCACCGCCTGAACCTACTTATAATGAGTCTGTCTCACTCCGACTTACTGAAACGAAACCAGTCAAATACAAAATCCCCAAGAAATAATGTCAGCCTTGTAACTTAATCAAATTTCGTTCAGTTTGGCCGAAAAGCGGGGGAGAATTTCATTTAGCGAATTAACATTTCACTATTTGAAATTTTACGGCCGTTTTAAGATTTCAACCAGATATTTCCGCTTCAATTCGCGAAGCTGGAATTAGTCTACAAAGGACATTAACTTTGGCGGAAACTTCACCTGAGTGTAACAAGCGACGAGAACACAATTTTCCATTGGAATTAATGTATAAACTGTTTATATCGTGTTTTATGATCATTTACAAGATAATGCTTGCTAAGGATTATTGTTTGAGAAAAACTGAGGTGTCCGTTGTACGGACTCCCATACCCTCCCGAGTTTTATAATAAAAGACATACATAATTATAATTTCATAAAATACTTTTATGTTTCTATATATAAGTAGTGTATTTAAATATTCGAAAGAAAATTATTTAATTTTAAGTATAATAAAAATTTTCTAGGATGTTTCGTATTCAACTGTAACTATGATATAATTTTTATTTAAAGCTATTAATTAATTAACAATAATTAATTAATAGCTTATTATACTTAAAATTAAATAATTTTCTTTCGATAGTAAATCATACATACATTATTTGCTTCCAACAATGGTAAAATTGCATTTATGTTATAAAAATATTTTAAGACATTATTTAAGAATTAATTAATAGTTATACGAATAAATAGTACCAACTTAAACAAAAAAAATAAGTTTATATAACTAAACTGGTTAGACTAGTTTCATAAGTCTCTATGAATTAAACTAGTCCAAAAGTACCACGTTCTTACTTATTTTTGTTCTTCAAACTTTTGTTTAGTATAAATATATATTATACAAAGAGATGGCTAAGAACATTTATTCTAAAGGCAATATTTCGTTGCCCGTGTACAATTTCTTTTTAAACACGTTGTTCTTGCGTTTCTCCTTTAGTCTAAACTTACTTAGTTCTATATACTATAGTGTTTTAAGTCTCATATCGTGTTTTTTGTTCTTTAAACCTTATTCCATCTTTATAAGCAAATAGTAAGCTGTTGAGTATTGTGAGAGTATTTTTGATTTGGTTAACTACCTATGTGTATTCGCGAAAAATTATATTCGTTGTAGTTTTAGTTTAAACTTCCGGAATGGCAACGCGTGAGAGTGGTATCGCTAGCGTAACATTATTTTTTTATTTAGGGTTTTGGGCTATTGTCAGATGGTAAGACATGTAGCACTGCGATCTTCATAGATCTATTGTGGCTATAGAATGTGTAGTGGCGTTTCCTCTTCAGCTTGGCAAAGATGATATGAGATGATAACGTGATGTCTACAGTGCTATTCATGTATAAAAGGAACGATTGCTTGCCATTCCAATTACATACCTACCTAATTCAGTACCGTAACTTTTATATTGTAACATTTGTCTTTAGGGTAATTCTACTTTTAAGATACAACTATGTCATTAATAAAATATTTCTTTGCAGCTGATAAAGTTCCCCCCGGTTTCCCGAGCATCACACCTCCCCCAACCACAATGGTCGTGGAAGTTGGTCACACAGCAACCCTGCCCTGTCAGGCCACCGGCAACCCAACCCCGAAGGTCAAGTGGCTTATGAACTCGCTGCCACTTGACATCAATACCAACCCCAGATACACATTGCTTAATGACAAGATGCATGGTAAGTTTATAATTTATTATTTATAAAATAATAGTAAATATTCGTAGTTCATGACTAATGCACTTTTGTAATGTGGCGGTAGTGATAATGAAACGCAATGTATTTAGTTCATTTTACATTTTAGACATTAATAACCAAATTTTTTTTATTTCCAATGATTATTATATTCATCATAATTTTTAGTTTATATATTTCAGTTCATATTGTGACAGAATTTATTGAGTAGTATTATGTTTATTCCATATCTGTAATTTTTATTAAAATGTTGTTGTTTAGTCCACAAAAAATAACGTGGTCAATACTACTGAATTTTGTATGGAATCGGCACAAGTGAATACTGTTCCTGATTCCAAAGGGAATTCTTATAGCATTAATCATCAAAATCGTTTCAGTTATTGGGATTAAAAAATATATATATTTGTATTTATTCTGTACGATACTTAGGATCTTATTGTTTGTTTTACTTTATACTTATTATCCAATGTTTTAGAACTGGAATGAAACACGATTGTTATTCACTAAATAATATATAAATATTTATGAGAGAAATTATCATTCAATATAGGTACTTGCAAAATAATTCTATACAAATTGATGTAATAATAATTGAACTTAACTCGATTTCCGTCTATTACATTCACAAGTCTATGAGTTCTACTGATGTAAGGATACGAAAGGTGACTTACAAAGCGTGAAAGTCAGACAATCCTCCATTAACATAATCTAAATTGGATCTTCACATCCATCAAACGTTCATAAGACAGAGTCTAATGACACCAATTTACTCCAACATTTTGTTAAACAGAAACGAAGAAAAACTACGTATTTTTTCTTGTCATTTTATCTTTTAGGGGAACAAAATGATGTTTTTATCGATTCGTTCAAAAAGTAATATCGAATCTATTTATTTGTTTCCATGTAATTTAGTGTTTTTCTTTATACGCATAATCTTTGGCGTAAAATAAATTATTAGAATAATATTTGAAGAAAAGCATTTCTTCTGGTATGTTATGTACTTTTTATACATTTTACAAACACCTGTAACTTTGTATACTCTCAAGGTATAATTTCTTAAGCATTAAGATTAATAACAACTTATCTTTGACAAGTAAATAATTCAGATAAAAATTACCTGTATACAACATAAATAACAAAAAAAAATAGATTTTAGAATTTTCTTATATTTAGAAACATGCATGCAAGAATATATTACTTACATAATATCTCCACTAGCTGTGTTTTGTATGACGCATTGAAGTATCTTCAAGGTTTTTACATTCATATATATCATATATTTTATAAACATTACTCTCTTTAGATCTTAAGTCCAAATACACAAAACATTTTCACAGCGAACAAGAGCAGTTTAATCAAAATATGTGGATTAGTAATAAACCTAGCCTACGTGTAGCGAAATCGAGCCTCGCGCTTTCGGGGCAAGGCCAGAACAGACAAAAGTTAATAAAGAGTTGGGATTTGGAGCATTATCTCGAATAATGTCCGAACTTTATTAAACGTTTCTTTCTCCCCAACTGGTACCTACGCTAAACCTCCTTCCGTCATTATATTATGTCACAGCAGAGCACAGTAATTTTGCTGTGTTTAAATGCATATTTTTTTGTAATACAATTTATAAAATTATAAATTACAATTAATTTGATTCTATAAAAAAAACTTTAGACATATTTATTGAAGACAAACTGTTTGCAAAAATAATCATCCAAGATTTTGAAAGATGCAATGGAAATGAAAAAAATATTTTTATACCAAATTGATTAAATATAGTAAATCTTTTGAAGGTCTTTATGATGGGAAGAATTTTCATGATCTTCCATTAAATAAAGGAATGGCGTTATTAAAGAAAAAGAGGAGTATTATAAATTTAAAGTGTTTTTTTTCTATAATAAAACTCTAATATGCATAAATTTTTAATTCAAATTTACTTAAAAAGAACCTCCTAGCGTACTTTAACCATACCGGCCAGATTTGATGTAGGGTTAAATGTCGACTTTTTCATCTATTACATCATATAAGTCTGGCTTTACTTTTATAACCGCCTTTTAGAACACCTAGAAAATAAAAAAGGATGCCACATTGTACTCTATTAATACCTTTCGTCCTTTACCTAAGTCTCTGTATGGTCGAAACCGGGTCTTAAAAATCAAAATATTATGAGAATTATATTTTGTATAATTTAATGGACTGTATTTCAACAGCGGATACAAAATGAATATTATATACCATGCAAAGCGAGTTTTTAATCCCTCTTCCTTAATATGCTCTAAGTAAACATTATATAAAAAAGGAATGTACATTTACTCATTTTATTAAATTTGAATATGTAAATTATTTCCTATCGCTTGGATCCATTATGATTATATTATATTTTCTATGAAATTATTGTTACTAATATATACTTTTTACCTTTATCGTTTCACTTAGATTTTTGTTTGAAATACGATATGTTTCTTTGTCACTCGTGACACTAGTATACCCAATGGAAATTATATACAACTAATAGACTTTGTACAACCATCTCCTTTCTTTGTCTTATCTTGTTCTACCACCAAGCAACTTGCTTTTTAAGCTATATATCGGTTTGAAAATTAGAGGTTGATGTCCTCAACGTTGGTGGTTAAAAAGCAAGTTGCTTGGTGGTATGATATATAGATGGTATCTAGCCCATAGAAATGGAATTAATAAGCGGTACCTAAGGATGTGATGTTCGTGTGAGTGTCCGCTGGTCATGTATAGCGAGGTTGCCACTTTCTATCAGGCAAAACTTAATTTTATTTTTCATTGCATTTTCTTATAAAACTATGAAGCACGTGATTTCTGACATAACAATACTGGCACATGAAACCTTGTACATATCACATAGAGCTATCTAGTCTAGTCTAGTATCTATATATGCTATTGGAATATTCCAAAAAATATATAGGTATTTATAATGGCTAAAAGAATCGACGATCACACTACACTATAAAAAACAATGGGATAAAAGTGTTCAGATTTGTTCAACACAAGTGACCCTTCCCTCGTCTGTCCGAATGAAATTCGTCACCTCCATTACACAGCTACCCTCAAAGATAACCCAATTAAAGGCCCAGGCGACCCGTAAAGCATTTGTATTATACGTGATAAAAATCTTCCCAGTCGATTGGGCACCGTAATTACGCTCCTAGTTGTTGCGGCTTAGCTATCGGTTTAGTTAATCCTACTAACAACACTCATGTTAAGCCCCCTTCAACGTAGATATACAACGTGTTAATGAAATAAAGCAATTGTTTCTATAGATTCGGGAATGGTACACATTTTAAATATATTTTTAATTTATCCACTTCTCATGCCACGATGTTTTGAGCAAGACGTCTTGCCTCCTAGGTACGGAATTAAAAAATAGAAATAATTTCAAATTATTGTTAATTTCACTACCAGATCTTACACTTCAACTGAAATAGAGCTTTAAAGGCAAGTAGCTTAGAAGCTGACTTAGAAGATCAAATAAATATTGTACAAAGTTTATCTTGATAAATAAGTACGATAAAGAAGTAACAAACAGTCAAACAGTCACACTTATATTTATAATATTAAGTAAGGATATATAAATATCAACAATATTTAAATATATTAAATTAAATTATTCCGGATACTTATATATCCTTATTTAATTCTATTTAAAATTCGTATTAAGTAATTAATAAAACAAAAAAAAACGATTTAGACGTATCCTTAATTTAAAATATTCGTAAAAAATAAAACTATTGCCGAAATAAATAAAAATGTGTCTTATTTGATTATGGATCAATATTCCAGTTCGTAAAATAGACATATTTTACCCATTTTATACCCAAGATTCTGTCATCTTTAATATCACTTCTAGTTTCTGCAATTTCCTTAATATCGTAGAGTGACTATTATGTAGTTTTTACTTCTCTGGCCTGGGGCACAAGTTCGGAAACTTGATATAAACACCTAACAGTATTGTTTCTAAACCGTGTGTAGCCCGATAGAATAGGTAACATAAACTATTAAGCCCCCGGGTACATTTTATCAGTTTACGAATGTTCCTTTGTAATCTCACCTAACAATAATTATCTGAGTTTGAAATGTATACACATAGTGTGTGTTACACATGAATTAACAATAACCATGCCCGTATATTGTGGATATGTGAACGAGTTTGTTTGTTATCTATTGATTTTATAACTTCTCAACTGGTCGTCAAGAACTGTCTACCCACACGAGGATTTTAGGACATACATAGATAGACTTTTTACAGCGGTCAATCAATATCTCCTAGTTTTCAGGCGCACACAGTTCAAATTTAGAATTTTTACGTATTTGTATATTTCACAGAGTTTCATAGAGCCAAGTTATGTGGAGTCACAATATTAGAGTAGTATTCGTCGGTAGACTATAATTATCACTATGTCTAGTTGTTTTTTTTTTATTTTTATATATAAAAAATAATAACTACAAAAAAATATCTCGAAATTATTTGGGTAATAGTTCTTATTATGGGTATTATTATTATTGTTCTGAATATACGTACAGTTGCGTATGTTTATTTCTTGGTGAGTACATTGGTATTGTACTATAATATTATGTAATTTTATAAATAAAATTGTGTATTAATATTACGAAACATTATTAATACTAAATTATTACTTAATGTATATTGCATTCTACAGATTATACCTTCTTAGCCAGCGCACTATATATATTTATAAAAAATATTGTTTCAATGGGCTATTTTCGTCGTCAAATAAATTAAATATATATATATATATATAATGTATGTTAAAAATATATAACATAATTTAATTCACTTGCCTATCTTAAAAATGCTACAATGTATACCCATCTTAAAAATGCGATAAGGTTGAACAAACTGATGAACTAATAGATTTATAGTTGCCTGAGATTTCATCTGCAGAAAGTTTCAATCCTTATTTCACCTCCTTGCAAATAATTTTTGGGATAGAAGATAGTCAACG